AGTCCAGCTACTACGTGCAATTAAGAGGTTAGTATTATATGAACGCTTTCGAGGAAAGCCATGTTGCTCTGGGGCTATTAAGTTGTGGCTTTCCAGATACTGCATAAGCGTATCTGCGATGATTGATTCCATCAATTTGGATAGTACAAGAAGTAGTATCATTGGTCGATAGTTGGCAGGGTCCGTGCGGCTACATCCTTTATGGATAAGAGTGATGACCCCTCACTTCCATACTGGTGAAATATGACTCTCTACAAGACATCGCTGATAGAAAACAGCCAGTGATTCTGCTAGATCACTAGCTATCGCCTGCAGAGCTTTTGGTCGGATGTTGTTAACTCCAGGAGAACTGTGGATACGCAATGATAACTTCTTCAACACGGCTTCCACAGTGAAGGTGATGTTGTCTAAAGCCGATGGTGGAGTAATAGAAATGAGGAGAATGTTTGTGCTCGTTACCTGCTGGAAAATTTGGGAGTAATGAAGCCGTAGGAGATCGGCTGCTTCCACTGCTGTTCGCGTGCACCCATCAGCCGTGACGAGTGCTGGTACCCCCGCTTCACCTTTCGAAGGCCGTTAACGCGCCTGTACAGAAATTTGCGGTTCGTGCAGAATCGCTTCATTAACTCCTGCTGATGCGTGACCTTGTCTTCGCGGATCAGTTTCACACAGAAGTTACGATGTGGCACATATATGGTCCAGGTTTCGGCATTCGAGCTGTCCATGTGATCTCTCCATGCAAATCCCTCCGGGACATACATTTACGTGTTCTGCTCCTCAGCAATGACTTGTGCTTGTGTTTGGTTTGGAAGGACTTCTGTTCGGATGCTTGCGCTACCAGTGTGTTAAACGTCCTTGTAAAGGTTTCCCAGGCAACATCTGGGGGGAATTCGGTTAAGAAAGTCCAAGATGTATCCTTAACGCGCATAGATAACGCATTATAATGCGTGACAGTATGCACTTTATCATTCACCTTTTCAGGATACTCTGCATAGCATACATAGTCAAAGAGTAGAGTAACATGATCACTACGACCGGTGGTGTGCTTGTAACTATCTCGTCAACCATGAGTTCTTCGTTATTCAGCACAAGATACAGTATCGATGGCTGGTCAGCAATTCGAAATCCGATGGGAGAAGTTACTTGGGTGTACAGAGGGTGGCTAGCAATTAGCTCTTGCAAGCAGGCTTTAAAATGCGTACCTTCGGTGGCTGGCGTTCCTATGTCGTGCAAATTAAAGTCCCCAGCGGTACGAATGTGGGTGTAGGACTTGTTCAAAGCCATCTGAGAAACATGGTTCAGTTTGGAGTCCATTTCTGAGGTTGAGTTTGGTGAGCGGTAAATCATGGCTAGTAGACATGTGTCCTTGTTTCGCAACCATATGCGGTACCAAAGCGAATCAGGAGCTCGGATTTCCGGGTGATCGATAACTTCACATCGGTGGTTTGTATTATAGTAATGAATCACACCGCCACCCCTTCCGGTTCTATTGTTCCGAAGCAGTGACATACCGGGTAAATTGATCTCAGAATCGGTTATCTCAAGGTTTAACCAGCTCTCTGTAATCATGACAAGGTCCCGCGGTTGTGATGCATGGAGCTCTCTAAGTTCGGCCAAATTACTTAGAAGACATTAGACGTTTGTGTACGTGCAAGATAGGGCTTTTGATGTTAGGAGTGCGTTGATGAAGGTCAACTTTGTGTTCGTTGTAAAGCCGGCCGTTAGGTGGCCGGCCATTATTCGTATTTTTGGTTTATGAATTTCGGTCAAGTTGCATGACATTATTAGGCGTTCCTGAACAGACGTTTCACTTGTACTGTGCGGTGCTCTGTCCTGTTGCGTGCTGTGGATGCTGTTGTGTCGCTCTTTCCGCAGGACTATGTAGATAAATAATTTGCAGCGTTTGCAAGTTCCATCGAACTGCTTACTACACTTGGCCGTTCGCCTGCTGCCTTTAGCTGGATCACTGTTGGCAACCCGTCTTGAAACTTTAACCATCTACCCAACAGAACTTGGCTTATTCCCTCGGAGTTTATTATTACTTTCATTAGTTTTGGATCGCAGCCCTTGTAGTTAGGTGATGACGGAACTTTTGTCAGGGATTTGGCAATAACATTGTCATTTATTAGAATGAATCAAGGGAGGCAGAATTTGAGTAAAGAATTCTTTCCGGCAATTCTCATCAGACTCAAACATTACATGATGAGGAAAAATGCTAAATGTGCCGGATTGGGCTGCGTATTGAACACAATGTTTAATTTCATGGGTACAAATCAATAACTCACGGGGTCATTGTAGGTGGCAAGTATGTACAGGGGAAATCACATCCGAAGTTGTAGGCCACGGTAGAAGTAAAGGACGTACAAACTGTTTTTGTACGCATAATTCTGGCTTGAGATGGCGGATGTAGATAGCTTCCGCGATAGACAGAAGATGCATTCGGAATCCGCGCGTGAAACGTTCAGGAACAGTATAGATGACTCTAAAATCATTTTCCATTCCTGCGTGACTGTGTTCAATACGCAGCCCAATCCGGCACATTTAGCATTTTTCCTCATCATGTAATGTTTGAGTCTGATGAGAATTGCCGAAAAGAATTCTTTACTCAAATTCTGCCTCCTTTGATTCATTCTAATAAATGGGAATTTTTGGTTTGCTGAGGATCAGCATTCCCCGTGATTCAGTCAATAACATTGTCAACAGAGAGTGCTTCGCGGATGTAGCAACACTGCTCTCGGTCATGTGTTTGCACATCGTGATCAGAGGAATGCAGAAGCTCAGGAACACCATGAACAAATATGGTTTTCTTGCTATCCTAATTAGGAATGCAGCGGTGATTACCTGCTTCTTTCGAGCGATATTTCCAAGGGAGATCAGGTAATATGTGCACTCCGCTCGGTGAGTTGCGAAGACGAACTGCTGAGAGTAGGACAGCCTCTGTCGCATCAGCTGAATCTAGTGTTACTCGAAGAATTCGAGGTTCACCAGAGGGCACTGAGGTCGGGTGACGCGCTACGCGTTGCAGCATAGCAGGCTCAACCCGAATACCAATCGCACCGCAGATGGAACTCCACTGGTTGCGATTGTCTTGCAACTTGACTTTTAATGTGCCAGATTTGGACTCGGGAACATTGGTGCACACGAGAGTTAACGCAGCGATGTTTTGTCTAGCGAGTGTCGGCTTTATACCTTTTGCCGGAAAGTTGGGCTGTTTAGAAGGTACCACTGGTTGTCGGTGAAGGCCGTTTTGCGCCACGCATGCTGGGTACAGGTGATGAACCTATGTGTGTATCACCCGGTTTGTTTGTCGAGGCAATCGATGCGCACGTTATCTGCTTGTTATCTACACCGGATTGCCTTCGGCTATGAGCTGTAGGTGTCATGGCTGAATTTTCAGGTGAAGCGTCTATGGTTGAAGAAGTGGAAGCAGGTATGTTTGAGGCTTGTCCACTTATGTGAGTGACGTGACCTAGTGGATTTAGAGTTACAGGGGCTGCAATGCGGTTGGAACGTCTAGCTCTCTTCTTCGGCTTAGATTCGGAGCTTACTTGGAATGGGTAAATAAATAAATAAATAAGTAAAATAAGGTAAAATAAGGTATTTTCGTAGCCATATTTACCTCCGTGGCATCGATCTTACTATTTACGGAATGCGCGATTATCGCAGTCATCCTATCGTACATTTTCCTGAGCAAAGATAAGCAATTGCCAACTGGAATGACGACATGTTGGGCAAAAGCAAATTGTGTCAACAACTTTGTTGCTGTCTCACTTCTTGGACGGATTTGCCTACACATTGCGGACAATACGATCTAATGCAGCTAAAACAGGTTAAACTGATCTTAAGGACTTTACTGAAATTGTCTGCGCAACATAGGCGATGTTGAACCATTGGAATGCTAGTCGTTCCCTTATTGTTTATAGCAAGACCTATCTAAGCGCTCACCTAGATGAGTGTGCTTTGTGCCAGGCGTGACGCACAAACAGGCCAGAACACGCACACTAATTGAGAGTTGTTCAACCACACCAAGGTCAGGCGGTAGAGGCAAATGGAGATCGTAACGCGCAGACAGTCGGTTTCAGCGGTCGATCGACTCGCAGTTGAACACACACCCACACAAAGTGGCAGCGTTTGTTAATCGGCCTGCCTTAAGCGACAATGCAGGTAGAGCGCTGGTAAGTGTCCCGAGAGCTGCTCAGTTGCTGAGCTGAGTAAAGTGATTAACTTTGTTATGCTGCAACTTGCAACTTGCGTAGTTTGGGATCCCTCAGCTTATTTTTCCGAATGAGACCAAAATCTTTTTCGAAAAACCGGTTTGCTGTAGTTACACAAGTGGAACCCGGCAAAGAATATGCCAAAAACTAGGAACTGGAGCAAGAGTATAATCCACACAAGTTAGATCCAAGAGTTAAAAAGCACTGAGTAGAGCTCGCCGAACTGGTTCGAACGAGCGAACACACAATATTCACCAGTTCGTCAGATGTCCCGGTAAAGCTCAGTGGGTCGAAGAGATATAGAAACTGTCGCATCACGCTAAGACCTAGTCTCGGTACAACGGATCACTTGAATAAGCCTTTGTCGTTCGGTTGGGATGAGTGGCATCCGAACTAAAGACACTTTCGGCATTGCTCGGAAGGATCATCTTGGCCTTTCAGGATACATCAAAAGGACGCACTCTCTTGACTCGGTAAGATAGAACGCGACAAGATTGCATTCCTACAGTCGCAAAGTGAAACAATGGATCATGGCGGATGCCATCCGATTAGCCGCACCAATTTGCCCAGTAAGACTAGTTATATGACGGAGTTTGAGGGATTCATGCGGGTTGACTGAATTCAAATAATCATACTGACGTTTATAGTTCAAAGTTAAAAAGTCCATGTGAAAACCGGAGCAAGTTGCTAACCTCGGCTTTTTTCTACACTGTTAACTTCATGTGCAGTAAAGTTAAGCCTCCATCTCTCCACAGTGCTGATCCGGCTTTGTCATTTTAATCGCAGATTCAAATTGCAACACCCCCGTGAAAATCCGTTCCGCCATCTCCATCACCCAGTTGCCAGAGCACGTGACAATGCTCAAAATGAACAGTGGTTTGGAAATGTCGGAGGAGTACGAAAGCATTGAAGCAGGAGCTGGAATGACCTGGATTCATGCGAATATGGAGGAGAATCGACCGAAAAATCGATATGCCAATGTGGTGGCCTACGATCATTCCAGAGTGATTCTGAATGAGATCAAAGGTGTTCCAGGATCCGATTACATCAACGCAAACTACATAGACGGATACCAGCGTCAAAAGGCCTACATTGCCACGCAGGTGAGCAAAACAGCGACTCATGATATCAGCTAAGACATAAATGAGGGTAAAATGTAAATCCAAGTCCCGTTTGTAAAGACGAATCGTAAAGCTTGTAGCAAGTAACCAGTAACAAAGCGAGCAGGATGGTAATCAGGTTTCGCTTTGCAATATCAGCGAACTTGAATCAAAGCATCACAGACCGAAAAGATAATAATACTTGATCATTGGGAGGGCAGCTATGATGAGTACGTCGCACGGACATAAACCGGTCTGAGGCAAACAACTGCTTTCAATGATTCGTCTACGAGCCAGTGTAAACCAGAAAAGGCTAAAATACTGGAGGATGGAGAGGGATTGGTTCAGATGTTTGTTTCGAACTAAGTAGGACAATGGTTAGACAGCAAATAGTTCACGGCTGTCTCATTCAAATACATCGATTGAAGGTTACTTAATCACAATGCTTGAGCCGATGTCAAGGTGACGGCTGGGGGATAAAGAGATTAAACAAACTTTCTGCGAGTACAACGCGGGTTGGAATGTTCGGATTGCCGTATCCACTGCAGTGGTGAGCATTCTTAACCGCGAAGGTTTCGACTTGCTCATGGGAAACTGATAAATCACAGTAAACGCATTCGGGAGGTTAACCCGGTGACTTGATTCGAACAGGAAGGACAAAATATCGCTTGTGATAACTCCGGTGTCACCGTTCATCAACCATTTACGGTTGTGTTCCTTAATGGGACGTGACAATTGACGTGTAGTTCGGCCAATGTGTGTCGCAACACAGGCGCACTCGGATCGAGGGATTACATAAGAAGAAGTCAGCTTCGACAGTCTGTCTTTGTTGCACCCAGGAAGTAGCTGGTTTGTGGCGGATACATAACAATTCTGCAGACGGAAAAGTGTTCCTTATCGACTGTGTTAATTTGCTTGTAATAATCTCAGCAGCTGTATCGTCCTTACCATCAGTGCGAATAAATAAAGCTTTCTTTCCAACCACTTCCTCAAAACTGGATGTTATTTTGAGGTGAATGAATCCTAACAGGTAACTCTTTTCACGCAACATGTTCTGTATGAACATCATCTCATCCCGAAATTAAAATTTGCCACTATCCTCCAGATTCATATATCTATGTCGTCCACATAGCGATGGGAATGGGCGAAACAATTGATAATCGGATACAATGAATAAGTCTCCAGTTTAGCCTACTTTGACTTGAAATGCCTTTGAAAAATTAGACCATACAAAGTGAAAACTGCTGCGTCCGCACCACTAGTTATCCATGATGTCCTGTGCGCTACACAACGAATTGCAACAGTATGCAGATGATGTATCTATGCCGACAGTGTCACTGACACATTGTCGCAGTACGAGGAGAACGTTAAGAAAAGGCCCAACAATGGTGCTGTCACCGGATGTGGCGACGAGGTGGCGTTATGCCGGCCTCGCTCAAGCAACAATGGAGTGAACCAGAAGGCATCAGGAGAAAGAGGAACTAGTTCGATATCAGTGAGCGATATAGATCTCGGCTGCAAAGTGGAGTATCCCTATCTAAATCATCACATTGTATTCCCCATTACCACGAGCGATCTTACGCAGGCTAAGACACTGCCGCCATGCTCAAGTCCAGACGAAGTGAAGAGTCGAACCCGAGGGAGGTTGCAAATCAGGTATCGGAGCCACTAACATCGAACCAATCAGCTACCATTAGTTCACTCCGGTTACACACAACACCTAATTTCTCGATAAATTCAAATACAGCATCCACAAAGTCAGAAGGTACAACGATAAAGATGATACAACTTGCTCCTCTCTATATGCTAACCAATCACTCCACGACTTGAAGGTAAACGGTTGAAATCAGAACAACATCTCATTAGCACTAGTCTCGATTGGCTCCGCTTGATTCTAGCGCGCATCCACCAGAACTCGCTGTGGACAAATATTACGCCATATGCCTCATACATACAGTGCTGAACGAAAACTAAGTGTGCCGTCCAACTCATGCAAATCGTCATTGGCCCTATGGCTTGCATAAAAACACTAATGGTGCTTAACACATGTCACGTCCAGTCTATTCGCCGTCACCACGCTTCCTTTCTTTTTTTGGTCACCGTCGCCACAACACCTTCGAATTCTGTCCTTAAGTACCGTATTGCAATAATACACGCTAGCAAGAAATGCCAGCAATCGATGAGGATGCAGCCTATCAGATGATGCCGTCGCTTTGAAGTGTTGAGTTGCAGTAAAGCCTGTGAAACATCATTGTTACCTCCGTGTTACGTTACGGAAACACTTAGCATCAGCTCCTGGCATGGTTGGTGCCGTCGTTTCGAGTACAGCTTCTAAAGGTGGTAAGGCTTAAAACTGCATCTGTCAAACCACACCTTATGTGATAATGTTTGGACGTTGTGTTAGGTGACGCAGCCGGGAAAAGCCAAATCAGAGACCATATTCGTCACTCGGGCACCTGGTAACCTTTCTGTTCGCATATTACTAGCTACCAATCTCCTGATCCATTTCGCTATATTTTTGCTCCCATTTCCACTGCAATTGTTATTGTTTGCTAACGTGCTGTATAGACTCGTTGCATGGTGATTTTCGTACCAATTGTTTAACAAAGACTAGAGCACAATTGATGTAAAAGTCATTCCAGCTGTAAAAATAGTGTGGATGAACAAAGCCTAGCCTCTCAACGTTGCCTACGTACTTGTCCTCGATTCTTCACCCCATCGCTAAGCGTATAGTAATGTGTGTTTGGCAAGTTTTTCGTGAGACCACACGGCTTTTGGTTGGCCAGTCGATTTCCACTAACTTCGTCCAATGTAATATGCAAGGATTGAGTGCTATGTTGTCGGGATCTGTCTGTTCGTATCTCATGTTCATAATATCACAGAAATGGTACAGATACACCCAACAGAGGAAAACTACCATAACGCGAATACAGCTGATTCAATTGCAGTGATGAAAACAAATTCGGTAAGGTTGTATTGTTGTCAGAATAGTTTATTTGTCCATCTGCTCATGTTTCAGGGTCCACTGCCGGAAACCTTTTACGATTTTTGGCGTATGGTATGGGAACAAAACACACACATCATTGTCATGATGACGCGGTTGGAAGAGCGCGCGCGAGTGAAATGTGATCAATATTGGCCCACCCGAGGAACAGAAACGTACAGTATGCCTCAGGGAGAACAACCCATGCTGGACGCAGCATGTAGCTACACCGTCTCTATCAAAGACACTCAGGAGTTTGCTTATTACACCCTACGCACCTTTATCTTGAAACGGAATGATCTCAATTTGGACACCGAAGTACAAGCGCAGCAACGACAGCAATTGTACAGGACGCCGAATCCAAACGAACGTCAACGCGATGTTAAAGAGGTGAAACATTTTCAGTTCACCGCCTGGCCAGATTATGGAACGCCGGATCACGCGCAACCTCTGCTGCTATTTATTCGCCGTGTGTCCCAAGTACGGTCGCAAATACTGCACCATTTGCAGCAAGAACGGATAGCTAATGGAGATTCGTTCAACGGTGCAGAGCACTCCAGACAACACCACAGCGAGATGGGTCCAACCATTGTGCACTGTTCCGCCGGAGTGGGTCGGACAGGTACGAAAATCACGTGACTTTGATTAAATATATACAACAAGAAAACTGTTGGTCACTGAAATGTACAAATATTCATAGTTATAACTTTGGAAATCCTCCATTTGTATGAGGAGTAAGTATTCAAGACATTTACGTATTTAAATTAAATTTACCGTTGAGGTTAAGGTGGAACCAAGTACACATCCCTCTAGAAACTTTTCAGTGGCTTCAGACATTTGCAGAAAAATGTGCGTGAGAGCTTTTGTAACAATTTTCCAGCTTAGAACAGAGTAACGCGGAACACGTTATTTTCCATTTTTATGACAACTGTCAGGTGCATTCGTGGTTATCGACTCACAGCTGGAACGATTGCAACATGAAAAATCAATTGACATTTTCGGTTCCGTTGGCCGTATGCGCAACCAGAGGAACTTTATGATACAAACAGAGGAGCAATACACTTTCTTATATGACGTGTTCGTGGAGGCGGTCACAGTATACGGAACAGAGGTAACGGCGCATGGTTTGTACAATCACGTACTAAAGCTGCGCCAAACCGCTCCGAGTAATCTCATGGCACACAAAAGAATGATGGAGAATGGCGTGCAAGACGGTAGCATGAAAGAATTATCCATGGGGTTCGGTCAGTCCGGGTTGGATTTGGAATTCAAGGTAAGTTCTCGCTGAGCTGTTTGGTGACGTCTAAGATGCAGGGATTAGCTTACGTTACCCCGATCTTTGGTCAAATGCTCACTGTCGCACACGTAAATTTGGCTACTCACGAGTAGTAAAAATGCTATAAGATAAAGCGTACAAAGTAAGAGCGCAGTTTCGCTAACATGTTTGGCGGTCAGTGGGACAGGTGTGTATGGTGTTGATAGTTTCTTCTATGTCAGTGATTGTCAACCTGGGGGTAATTAGCCAAAGTGGGTAACACGGAATTTTACTGTGGGTAAATATGAACACGAGGATTAGGTTATCAATCTGCCACCAAAATTCATAACAATCACTTATATCAAAGCATGTAACCAACTACCTGATCACTATTGATTAATCATCATTGACTAATCATTACTAAATGAATCAATTTCGGTAATAACTTTTATTACCTAAAATACGAATACAAGCTTGCAAAGCAGCGCAGCCGGATGGCACCTCTATTGGCTCGCACGTCGATTGTTATTCTTTTGAGTTACAAAGTCGTTCGCCAAGTCGACTTAAATGAACACTAAGGTGGAAGCACAAGTCAACCGACCGAATGTTTACAAGGGACAAAAAAGACCATTAGTGTTCAGGACGTATTGATACAGAATGGTGGTGGGAAGTTATCATCCATGATCGAATTGGAAGGGAGAATTGAAACAAATGAAAAGCCACTGACATCTGTTCATGTTTGTTCAGAAACCACACACCAAACTAAGGAACCGAATGAACTTGGAGCACGATCTGCGATGTGCATTAGCCGAAATCACACCAAATATGCCATAAATTGTTAAGAATAAGCAATATCAGCAGCCTCGTCGACGCACATCCCCACTTGATTTAAAAAATACGCAGAAATAAGTGTTTTAATATGAATCCATATCAGACAGCTCAATCATGTCGCACCTCCTTGAATGTGGCTATACAGCTTCAGACAATGACTTCAAAGCCATCTACTCACTATCTGAACACTTCTCCCAATGATTCTGCGAACAGCTCTTATCCATCGCCGAGGCAATCTATATTCACCATCCGAAGCCGGAATTATGTGTACAAAAACGATTCATACGGCCGATACTAGTACCTAAGCCAACGGACACTGTTACTTAGATTTTTGGTTGTTACGTTACCTATCTGATTACTTCGGACTACTGAGTATTTTATGCATGTTGATTTAGTTCACCTGGCATACCATCTATATCTCTGTCTCAAGTTATCGATTTTGGTCGTTCAGTCCAGAAGTCAATCCCAGCCCGAGTTGACGCTTTCCCCAAAATCAATGTTATGTAAACGTCTGGGTCCGATGACAGTTTACCGAAAAGAATTCTGCACCCTGAAAGGATTTCTGATATTGATTCATATTAATGCAATGGGCATATTTGATTTGCTGAAGAACAGCATTGCCCATGAATCACTGAAATAAGCGTTTTCTTTATTTGAATGATAAAACTAATTGAGCAATAATCATTTTTCCCAGTCTAAAGTAAAAATGCAATGGGTAATTGGCTTTTTAAACTAAAATGTTGTTCGGGGTAATTGTTTATAGTGAACGCGCTTTGTGGGTAAGAAGCACAGAAGGTTGAGAACCACTATTTTAGGTAGATAGAGAAAAACTGCTCAAATTTTCACTCTTTCGTACCCAATTTGCAAACAATTTAGAGGCTGTCGGAAAATCTCGTGAGCAGCAAACAGTTCAGTTCGGCGCTGCTCCCGGAAAATCGACTGAAGAACCGCACGGCGGACATCCTACCTTACGAGTATAATCGTGTTTGCCTACCGGTGATACGAGGACTAGCGGGATCTGACTACGTCAATGCCAATTTCATAGACGGATACCGGAAGAAGCACGCTTACATAGCCACGCAAACTCCTCTGCTAAACACGGTCGACGACTTCTGGCGTATGATGTGGGAACAGGGCTCCCCGATCATCGTTGTGTTAGGCGACTCTTCCACTAGCGGAAATATTCCACCGGGATCACAACAAGATGCTTACTGGCCGACGGAACGTTCAACTAGGTACCAACATTTATTGGTAGAGCCAATGGTTGAATACAATATGCCCCATTTTATACTCCGAGAGTTCCGACTCACAGATACGAGGGACGGTCAATCGCGTACTCTGAGACAGTTTCAGTTGCACGGGTGGCCGCAAGATGTCGTTGTCCCAAGGTCAGCAGAAGCGATTATCGATCTCATCGGACAAGTCCACAAAACAATGGCTCAATTTGGACAGGAAGGCCCGATCACAGTGCATTGCAAGTAAGTTTGCTGTAACCCAATAATGTGAACCATATTTGGGTGATGACTTGTTGGAAAAGTAAAAAATAGGATAATATCGATGAAAGAAATATAGAGCATAGTGAAATAGCAAAAGTCATGAGAAGTTGTAGTCCGTTGCAAGTATGTAACGGGTATTAGAGCCTGACCGAACTTATCAGATGGAATGAACGGCCAAAGGGAGATACTGATCTCTTATGGGGTGCTGCCAGTAACAGGCATCATTTGACGGACGGTTTAGAAGAATAAGGCCTTTACATGTAGTTTGCAAAGAGAACATGTCGAGACGAACTCAACATTGGTTCCAGTTGCCAGCAAGTAAACTGACAGCGCAATACAAGGCTGGGTTGATCAAAGATGTGGCTACAATGGGCCATCTTTCCTACCCACGTATATAATCAACGGAAATTGTGATCCAACACAATAGGGTCCTTATATTGATTTTTCGCGAGATACGCCTGTATCGGCAATCGGCGTATCATGATGGTATAAGGGATTCCCGTGAAGCTTGTATGCCAGTGAGCTTTTGCCAAGTGCATACCAGTTGAAAGATTAGTGTTAAAAGCCACGCAAAAAGTGTGTACAAAGAAAATACCGAAACCAAACCAAATGTTTTTAAAGTAATAGCATTGCTATTGCAGAACTAACCGAACGAATACGAACTCATTCGTGATTTATACTAAGTCCACACGAGCCGTTTTGATGTCTAACCTAACCCCTCTGTTCTGTCCTAACGCGATTCAGCTCCGGATCTGGGCGGACAGCCGTGTTCATCGGTCTCAGTTTGCTTCTTGAGCGAATGCGATGCGAGGGAATGGTGGATGTGTTCCTGACGACGCGAATGCTACGCACTCAGCGGATGGGAATGATCCAAACCACGGATCAGTACGCATTTTGTTACGCGGCCACGCTGGAATACCTCGCGTCGTTCGACCATTACACCAGCCAGTAACTCTTGCGCCATCCTGTCCGAACTCCGTCCCGATGACAGAGTCAATCGAGAACACTGCGGATACCCGAAACGCTCCGGTGTGTGTGCATAGGCGCTTTGTATGTTGTGTATTACAGTTGCATTGTACACTTACTACATTTCAATCCCATCCACGGCTAAACACAGAAGACAAGATGATGAGGAAGAGTTGAAGTACTACTAAACTGTATTGGTCTGCTGGAAACTATGTGGTGTGTAGTAGAACCTGCGATGTATCTATGAAAGAGAAATTTTTACAGTTGATTGTTTTTGAAGCACTGGTCAGATCAGCGAACGGGAATAGCAAGTCGCTCAAAAAAGGTCCAACAGAAAACAAACTAGGAGCCTCAGTTAATTGCACACATATAATGTAGCCTGTTCAATCCGTGATAGACACAGATATATTCATCTGATGATTTCCACTTTAGTAACATCAGAGATTGCACATGCCGTTCTCCTGATTAGGGTTCTCGAGATGGTGGGCCACATCATTGTCTGCCATCCCGTCGGATATGCAACAATTCTGACTTTCATTCCTCCCGTTCGGACCAGTAAACATCCTGCCCGATGATTTGAAACCACAGTCCATTACTCCTGAGTTATTATTATTAGTATAAATCTTGGTGGAGAGTAGGTTCAAAGTAAATGGATTCATTATACTTCAGGCTACGTAACACACAGTTGATTATCGGAACGCACTGGGGTACAAAGTCGGTGTTAGTCGCAAGCTATGGCACGAATCTTTCAAAACCACGACTGGAACCGCATGAACAATGATGACAACATTAAGACCATACAAAGAAAAGAAGAGAAACACGTAAGGAAACGTCGCAAGAAAAAAACCCAACGTTGTAGTGTATTTTATTAAAGAGGGATATCAGTTCGGTCACAAACAAGCACAACAGTTCCACGACCCTCACGCAGCGCTTTGAGAGACTCATCAGTGGTACATTGTTGGAAAAGACGCAGCACAGGGTCATCACGAATCACATTATCAAGTGCGTCTTGAGTGCATATGGCAGAGTCAGTGCAGCCTTCCCAATCATGCATTTCGTTTAGTCTAAGTGACTTTCCGTCATCGGAGGGCACGAATGGAATGTAGGAGCGAATACGAAAGAGTGGATGGTGTCGGAGGCAATCGGCGATCCAAGTGGCCAATTCAGGAACATCGGTGGCTGCGTACAGGCGACCTCCGGGACACAACACGTACGCATACACGTCGAGAAGAGTGGGGGAAATTATGCGCCATTTGTGCTTCATTCGCTTAAAATGCGGATCAGGATACAGGAAGAATAATTTCTGTAGTTGGCCCTGGGAAGGAAGCGGATGAAATGGGTGTGAACGAAGATTGATGCGAGTGAAGCAGTTACGAGCGACCCGTTCTACGTAGACATAAAGCGTCGCAGAAAAGGTGACCAAGAAGACGGGAGAAACCTGTCAAATGTTTGACTCCGGCTGAAACAACAGTGACAGGCCGGTAATAGTCACTCAGTGCAATGTACACGTGTGGTAGGAGAACGGGCCGAGTGGTTTAAATCGATACAGACTTTGATGGTCTTACGTTGCTATCAGGCGAAAGGATTCAATGAAACAAAAGTTTTGCGTCACAGTAGACAAGGTATTTCTCATCCCTACCTAACCGGTAGAACCATGATGCCGATGAGAATAAAACCGCTAAGGACAGTCTCGAAGAATGAGCTGCCACTAAACGAAGCACTTTTCCTACCAGTTTAATCGCTATCAATGCAGACAGGTGTGATAAAATCTGAGGCGTCTAAAGGGAGAGAGAGAGAGAGAGAGTAAACCACAATTCGATAAAGTCAGGCAAGGTAGAAAAACCTCAAAATATGACAGCCATAGAGTAACTTAAAATTATGAATACAGAGTAATGCAAAAAGCCCACGGAAACAAACCTTACGGAAGAAGTTTGGCAGAAACTTCATAGCATTTGTCCGCAAACAGGCGATATTATTGTATTGACCGGGATAATTTGAGCGCAAAGCACAAATCTTCCTCTACTAAGGGAAAAAAGAAGGAGAGAAGCTAGGGCTTTGATCGAAAGCAAAACTATGAAAAGGCAGTCATTAGATACAGAGTGGCGGAGTTGTAGTGAAAATTCAGACAAAGGAAATCAAAAAGAACAATTAGTTACTATAGCGAGATAGACACTTTATAGCAAGAGAAGAGACAATCTATGCAGCCTAGATACACCGAGATAGCATTGAATTGTGAGGATATCTGACAGCCGATAGCACATGAGACGAGCACTCGGGACGCATGCAGTGATGGCGACTGACTTCGATCCGACGAAGGCACTACGGTGTGGACACTGCAAGATTTGAACTATCATAAAAGTAGTCTAGCTAGTGTTGCGTTGCGACAGACGATAACGGTCACGCCCAAGAGAGGTCACGGCTGCCCCAACGGATCGATGGTGGCAATCACAGTGAGGGATGAAAGCATCGGTCATGATAAGTTTATGAAGTGATGTAAACAAAGTAGGGTTCGGTGACACAAAAATGAGCCAAATTGTCGATTGAAAGCTATTCTGAGAGGAATGGAAGAAAAGCAGGGTCCTTCCGTTGCGATCAAAGCAGTTTATTGGAAGAAGAGGTTGATAATGGTCAAATGGTCACGAGATGCGAAGCGGTTGGGTAAATCAGCACGTAGAGTAAATGAAACGAACGAGGCCACCGGGACGTTTATTTAAGTCTGGGAGCAACAACGATGATGTACTTAAAGGGTACAAAGCGCCATCGAGCTAGCTCAGCTTATGAGTTTCTCAGTCCGGATGTTGCAGAAGCGAGATAACACCATAGGGGAAATATGTGTCACGAAACGTTCGCTGCAAAATCGCAAACGAGCGCAGTACGATAGAAAAACGAAGCAACTGCAAACGGGGTTACATAGACACACCTGTACGAAATCGCAAACTTTCAGCCGTATTTCCAAACCCAAAGAGCGGACAGACGGGTACATGGTGGCTAAGGAAATAAGCAATCTGCCATAACCACACCCGACGTCCACAAAGCGCACGAGTGGATCGATAATCGCCGGCCCCGAAAGAGGCGAAGCGTATAAGGGCTCCCAATCATAGTGTTCGGGAGAGATAGGATAATCAAAAGTGTGATCGGACCACGGGTTGCAGTGAGCACGTTGCCGATAGAAACGCTTTAGGGGAAGACTGACAATCTCCGACGGTCCGGTAGAATCGCCGTCTGTCAGTGACTCCGAGTCAACGGATTTTCTAGTCATTTAGAAAGCGATATGAAAATGTTGGAATAATCGCTGGAAAGACCTGGGGACAAAAAGGGAAAAATGGCCAGCGGCAGGTAACTTGTATCGAAAAGTATGAAAATATTAGCAGGGATTGCAAAATACAACAGTTACTACAAAGGGCACAAAGTCTAAATTCAAAGAATTATGAAAGACGGATGAGAAGGGAAGATGAGTGAAATTTTCGAGAGAAAAGCACTCAAACAATGTATACGACCACAGTAAAGCACACGAGAAGAATGACGAATAATTTCAGCATCAGCACTCGTCGAGAGGAAACGGATCGAAAGTAGACCAGTAAGTGTTCATAAGCTGAACCGATGTTCAGCTCTGTGTCCTCTGCATGGCCGTCAATTCGCTGAACCACCTCATGCTGGTCGTGGATCAAGGTGGAGAACTGTTGGTAAATTTCACCCAGCTGGATAATGGTGGATTCCACACGCCGCAATGCGGCATCGCGTTGACGGACCTCCTGATCAGCAAAGGACACGTGAAGTTGGTCAACAGGTAGAGGCACATAATCTGTTGAAGCCACGGTGGAGGTTGACTGCGAATATCAAAAGAGGAAGCGGAGAGTTAGGAAAAGCGAATAAGACAGATGGAAACTAGGGCGATAAGTGTATGAGTAATTACGGTCAACAGTAGAGATGAACAAGATTGCGACTTTGATGAACCAAAGGGCGTTTGTGTCTGCACAGGGACCATGGGCGGCATGCGCTGTACTACGCACATGCTACAAATCCAGTTTTGACTCCTGTGATATGCAAGCGCGTATGTCATGATTAATTCGAACGTGACCAACACTTAAGAAGCAAGTCTCTTCCAGTGCGTAGGTGAACTTACGCAATCAAATCCTGGAATCATAACACTAATTACTTCGAATAAGCGTGAAATCGGTGCCTACCAGTGCCCTTAATTGTATCAAACTAAGGGGCAGCAAGCAAGCAGAACACAAAGCAATGATTCAAGCAGAAAGGAAGTGCGTGGGGCATAAGGAAGCTGTGGCATTTAGGACAGGTAAACTATGTGAATAATGCCAGTTGCGTGTGATCGGAAAACCCATGGACGAATGTCCGGTGTGAATAAAGAAAGCGGCATTTGGAGAGTTGTATCATGAGTTGAGCGATGATGTCGATACCGCAAAAAGAAAAAAAAGTTTTCAGACAGCAGAGCAAACAACGCCGAAAACGCGCTCATACGCATAAGTTTCAATACAGAGTAGCAGCTGCAGAGAAGTGTCGCGAAGAATCTCTCATCATCAATACACACTAGCCGAGAGTGAGAAACACACCTGAGCTAATGTGCCGCAATACAAAATGTAAGACATTAAGCAATGTAGACTTGAAAGATTTAAAAAGTAACATAATGCTAATATTACGTTTTGATGGTTGTTTGAGGAGGAAACTAAAGGGGAGAGACAAAGAGACTCACAACACAAAGGCCACTAACGTCGACTCTTCGTCATGTCAGCTAGTGCATCCAACCAAACGTGTTCATTATCTTCGGTCCCCAGCCAGGCAGTCAGGAAACACCAATCGACGCCAACTTCGAAAAGAGGGGCTTCATTCCTCTCAACCAAGCCATCGTTTGACTTTCCCTCCCCTTTGTCCATCCGCACCCCCGGCGCGCAAACAACGCACATCGCGGGAGTCGGTGGGCTGGCATGTCTGCCGTGAAATAATCATGATCCGAAGGTTGAAGTGAAGTGGGTCTATTTACCATATTTCGAACTCTCACGACGATGATAAATATGTGGGAAGTGAGAGACAAAAGCACAAAAAGCAAAGCAATTGAGGTGCAATAAACCGAATGCAAGAGAGCCACTGATTCCAATACTGCGTTAGGTTGAATGTGTCTGGTCGTTGATGTGGCCGATCTCAACAAAGAAAGCATGCCTCCTTCCAACGAGAATAAAACATTTATTTGGTTATGTATAAGTGGCCGACTCCCTCTTCCCAGTTTATCAACCCCTTTCGCCAACTTGCTAAGCGGCCAGTGTGGAGAATCAACAAAACAAGTGCTGCAGCAGCAGCAAGGAATTCACGCCAAGGTACAGAGCCGGTGGGTATGCCAAGTAAGCAGGTTATCCAAAACGACCGGTAAATATTCTCATTACACGAACTAGCACTGTATCAAAGGGTTTGTCGCAAAACAACACCGGCAGTTAATCGGTGCTCCCAATAAACGCAAGCGATACGTCTTAAACAGCGATGGTTCAATGTCTATCGAATTGTTCGTATCTCTGACAACCGGTAGGAGTGAACCTGGCTCATACATTAACAATTGCCGTGGGGCAGCACAAGACACTGTTCTAGACCGAGTAAACATAATGGAACAATGTAAAAATGGTTTAAAACGGGTAAAATGTTAAAGATTAACATATGCCGCAGGATGATCATGGTGAATACTGTAAAATATTGGAGCGCCGAAAAATGCAAGTTTATACCGATGGACTCAACGTAGTATACATATTATAATTTGGAGGAAGGACGACCAATGGGACGCTGATAACAAATCATGCCGCCTCCAAGTCAACACATACAGGTAATGAAAAAGATGGAATGTATTCTGGGAGCTGACGCTGGTGTTTGGCCATGGGTGATGAGTTTTGAGAATGTACAGCGAATTCGGGCCTCGAACTTCATCAGCGTGGGATCACAGATGACAGATTCCGGTAGCGCAATCCACGCCTGGCAAAGGCGCAAGGAAAAGAAATTCAACGACATTCCAAACGACTGTACTGCTCTGCCAGCTTCAGATGCTGGTCTCTCAGAGTACTGTTGTGATTCAGAACGTGCGGTTGGGAACGCTCAAAATCTGGTGAGTTAAAGAAGGTCCTCACACAAATCGCCGGTATTGTACGCTAAAGACTCCAAGCGCTCGAAGTTTGTGTTCATATGGCAAATGACATAAGCCTTTGACATTCTTGGTTACCCGGCGTTGAAGTATCTCCAATACGGCAGATCTCTCCTCAGCCATGGCTGCGAGATCTATATTGTGTATTCCACACGTGGACGTAGGCATGAGCTGAGAATCAGTTGAAAAATCGACGAGTCGAACCGTGAGAATGTATGTCTCATGAGGTCTACCTATTGGATACCCCTTCTTGACGCTTTCGCATCCAGAACCAAACATCCAGTTGGTCTGGACCAAAACGCACAGATCCTTTTCTCCAGATGTTTGAAGTTCATGGTTGCCAAGTCTGTAGCTGCATGCCAACTGTTGCGGTAAATGAACCACTTTGCATTTATCCACATTAAACCGAAGTAGACACTGCGTTAACCACGAGCAGAACATATCAGGATCGACCTGAAGTAGTGTAGTATCATTAGCAGTATTGATCGCCCTCCACCTATTGGTCATCGGCATAGAGCAGGCAGTTCGAGCTTATGATGCGTGTGAAATCGTTGATATACGTCAAAGATACTTGTGGCCCCAGTGCCGGTCCCTGTGGTACTCCGCATAAAAACATAACCGCAAACTCAAGATCCGGGACTGAGATGTGAAAAGCCTGAGGTTTGAACAGCAAGCTCTTCAGTGATTTAATCACCATGGGTGATGCAACTACATAGATGACTGATTCGGCCAGCTACTTCCAGTGGCTAGTCGGTGATAGTGGAGGCCTAAAATGCTTATCCATCTTCCTATCGTTGTCTTGCAGTTTAAAAAATGCAAAGCGCACACCATAGCACAAAGTGCACCGCTTCAGGTCGGCTGGAAAGGTCAATAAAGCGGTGCCAAAGGTGTCATATAGTCCACATTCCCGGACCGTAGCCTAGTAACGAGCTTGTCTTGTAATCTGACGGTGCGGATTCCAGCCTGCGTAGGAGCAGGGAGACCCTCGCAGTATACTTAGCCCACGTGTGACCGGTGGTGGTTGCGCGGCAGCAAAACATCGGCATTGCGTATCACCGTACTGTTGATGCCTTCTATTTAATCCACGTATTTGAAGCCTATCCGTCATTGATTGATGGAACTTGCATTGCAGAAGACATGGGCAGAATAATCAAGTATACTTACTACTATTGCAAAGATTGAAGAGAGAAACGGCATGCGTAGCAAACCGCAGTCGTCGAACCGAGTACAGAGGAGAGTCCCCAGATGTCATCGCTTGACTGCACGAGTCGTGATAAGAGTTCCGGAATTAAACTTACCCTTGTAAACTCATCATTATCATAAATAGCGGCAGCAGCAGCGACAAACCAACAGTAGACCAGCCAGTGGAACTGACGCTCCGAGACCCAAAAACTAAAATGGCCCGAGGAATGGGGAATAGTAAGGAGAGAAGGGGCTAGGGTAAAATCTAAACGCCCTTAGCAAACGCTTAAGATCAAGGCGCCCACACTTTGTCAACAACATACCGTTACAAACGGCTGACTATCGTGCAAGGATAAGGAGACATCGGCTTTTACACTGCCCGGCGTCATAATCAGCCCTTACCCGCAGATAACTCAGCCCACAAATCGACTAGGAGACGAAAGCAGACACGCTACTGGTACCGACTGCCAGCCATATCCTGTAGTGTGTCGAGTAAAGCACAAGGCAGGTCACGTGGACTCCACCCTGGTATATATATATATATATATATATATATATATATATATATATATATATTCAGTCTGTTAACAGACATTGTGCCATCAGAACCATGGCAGAAGAAAAAAACTAAAGAAGATAGGAACCCGAACTGCGATAAAAAAAGGAAACGATTTTTTGGTTTTACACACGCCATTTTGAATTTATTGTGTTTTTGTGCGTATTAAAGGGGGATCTAATGGCAGAACAACATTTACTTCACTGATGTCTGTTGCGGGCCATGACGTCCAATGTCTGCAACCACTGCGATTCAGCATCTCGTAGCCCCCAACTTGGAAGACGGACTGTTCTGACTGCCGCCAAACTTGAGGTTGCCTTCTTCACGCTTCTTCCCCACGTCATTGGCTGTTTACCGCGGCACTTTTCCAGTCGCTCCCTGCGAGTGCAAATAGCGCTCGATGTGGAAGGCGATGGGCTGGCATGCGCAAAACGTGTCCGAGCCAACGCATGCGATGTCGGAGAATAACGTCCTGAAGACTGGCACTATTCGCTCCAAGCACGCGGTCTCGCACCTCTGCGTTGCATACGTGTTGCCATCACACCCGAGCAATCCTTCGTAGACAGTGATTGTCGAAGACTGACAGCATTTTCATGCCTTCCGAGCGAATAGGCCAAGTTTCACAGCCATACAAGAGTACTGCACGGACGGAAGCATTGTACACCCTGCCCTTGAGCTTGAGACTGACATCACGACGACGCCATAGGTGTCTCTGTTTGATGAATGCAAGACGAGCCTTTGCAATCCGTCGTGAGACTTTATATCCAACACCGCCACCCGCCGTAATGCAAGTCCCTAGATAAGTAAAGCAATGGACTTGCTCCAGAACATGTTCAGCAATGGTGAGCGCGGGTTCAGGCACCTGTCAGTCTTGGAGCAGCGTTTTACATTTCCTCGGAGTGAAGTATAGGCCGTACTTAGACGTCCCCCATCGCTAAGCGGTCCAAGGCGCT